CGTAGTAGTAGTAGTAGTAATATCATAATTATTACTATTATTATTATTATTATCATTATTGCCATAATTGTGAACTTCATCATCATCAGATCTTCATGGAAACACCCACCAATCTCAGTTTCCTGGGAAGCACCCAGTGCGAGCTGCATGCCATTTTACAGACGCTCAAACACTAACAATAACATACTGACAAGATCTTACACCATATTTTTTCCAGGTACCGTATCTATTCTCTCCTCGGAAAAGTAACATACATTATATATAGTGCCTTTTCCAAAGACATAACGTCAGACCTAGACTGGGATTCAAACGTGCAAACTTACGGTTGCGAGTTCGACAGCCTATAGGCCTTTATACTACCAGTACTAGACTAACGAATTCGACCAAATCAAAGCAAGCAACCAGATTTCACCCAAACGGATGTCACAGTTATACTGAATCTTGGCAAGGGGTACCCAAAAGGACCCGTATGAATACAATTGCATCACGAACATTCACATTTCGTTGATGTCCGACTCACATCGAGCAGCCGCCAAATTTGGTCAAATATCTTTTTTCTTTTTTTTTTCTTTTTTTTTTTTGGGGGGGGGGGGTAACTTTATGCTAGTATTATTTTCCAAAAACTACCTAAACATTTTGCGTTGACTGTCCTTTTTACTTATTATATTACGGTGTCCTAAAAAATAAGGACCCACCTAAAGGGCAATAACTCGGTCAACTGTGTACTAATTTCAACAAGACTTCGAAAAGATAAATTTCAGTCAGGCGGGATGTCAAGTGTATAAATATGAAGAAAATCAAGAAACACATAAGAGAAATATCAAGTTTTAAAAAATTAAACCAAAATTAGGTAAGACACGAAACTTTACTTCAAGCACACAGCTAGAGGGGTGTGATTGGCCAATTCTGGTTTCAGGACAATGACGATACAACCACAACAGTCGCATCAAATGGATATCTCACCGTGCTGAGAACGTTTTGGAGATGTTTGGGGTGGAGAAGGTGTAATATGTTGTAGATGGCAGTTCCAGTGGGATGGGGTTACACCTCACACTTCAAGAGTAGTCCTTTTATGGTTGCAAGTTGCACGTTGTAAGCAAGGTTTGGGGAACGCCTTAACTATTATAAGCCGAACGCTTACAAATGAATGGTCACCGCATTCTGCCGACTTGAACCCTTCATTTACATGTACGTGTATTACCAAAACTCCCTGGCATTAGCTGTTAGATTTTTTGACAGGCAGAGCCAACATAAACAACCCACTAAAACAATCTAAAAGCTGAAACTCGGTGTTGAACAGGAGGTCCAGAAAATTGACCCAGAACATGCCTCAGGGTTGATCAAAATGTTTACAGTGGCATACTGGAGCTCGTATGGTGAGAAATGGCCAACACCTGGGACTAGGAGAATGCAAATAGATACCACCTTCCTTGTGTTCATTTTGCAATGTCAACGTTGTCTATATGTGTTTTTCAATGTACAAATAGTGAATGTTTGAAATAGAGCATCGGTTGATTTTTTCAGAAATTGTAAAGTTTACCGTTTTACTCAATTTTGGTTTGAAAATTTAAAACCTGATTTTTTAATTTTTTTTCGATGATGCTGGTTGCTTTTCTTCATATTGAGAATGTTATGACGCCCCCCTCCCCCCAAGTTGAATCTTGTTTGTTTGAAGTTTTGTTCAAATTGGCATATAACGATGACCAATATATCCCCCTTTAACTTTGTCGTTCTTCTGTCTTTTTCTTTTTTTTTTGGGGGGGGGGGGGCACTCGCTAGCTTTACTAATTGTAATTTTGGTTGTAAATAGCATAGATATATCTAATTTCAGACCCCCAAAAAGTGTAGGACCGTATTTGGCGGATACGCGGTTAGAGCCGGACACCAAGGTTTAGCTACTTGAACATTGTCTTATTGGCTTGGCATCGACAAACACTGTGAGATCCATGAAAGGGAATGTTTGGGACACAACACGGACAGTGTTATTTATATCAACAAAGTTTTAAAGATAAAATGGCAAGAACAATTTGCAGTAGGTTTTGTTGATGCCGCTGACATTGAAAATGACGTTATCACTCAGAAGATTCTTCTGTCGTTGCTGATGGTGAACTGCTTGCTGTTGCTATTGTTGTTCTGCACGAATGCAATAATTAGGATGGATATTTCAATGCCACGCTGGAGGGAGTTGAATTTTATGCTCTTTACTGTGAGTTAAAATCTGATGATGTTGTTTCTGTTGTTGTAGATGGTGCAACTGGGGCTTTTCTAGGTCTCCAGAAGAGGCGTTCTTGGAGCTGTTATTGGCTACGTCTATGCTTTTCTCTTTCCCTTCTTTATTCCTCATAGGTTGAGGAATGTCGTTTCCGGTAAGAGGTAGTTCTCTAGGTGAACATGTGTTCCTCACTATATCCCGCCACATGAGAAGAAGACGGGACAATGACATCTTGGTCATCGAAACATCTTCGTTATACAAAATGTTACACGGGAGACAGATCTTATTCAAGTGCGCAAACCCGTCGAAATGAAGGCGAGGCACGCGCAGAATGCGGGCGATAACTCCAGTAATGTGTGCGTCTTCCGCCGGAATTAGGGGAAGAGATTTGGCAACAGACACAATACGTGGAGCGATATCGGCTGACATGACGTAGGAATGTCCTATCAAGTAAGGCGGGAAATACTCAAATGGGTAGTCTGTTTCAGACACCGCCCACTTTCCGGACCTTAGAACTGGGGGTAGAGATTTTTCGTGTCTATGACCAATCATGAACCGAGGAACTTTGGCAGAAATGATGGGCAAAATGCGCGCCATGAGAGGAAGATTGACGAATGTGTCCAGGTCACACTTGAGTACGTAGCGGGCTCTTGGGCAGTGCTTGCTGACCCAGTGCAGACCAACCATCATCTTGAGCGTGAGGTTACGATAAGAGTCCACGAAGTCAGCTGCAACCACGTCTTGATACGTCAGTGATTCCTGGGGAAGAGAGAAAATCCAAATGTGTCGCGTTTGCTCTAAAAGAGATATTTGTCGTATTTTTTAGGCTACGTTTGTTTACTGGTTTCAATGTGGGTTAGTCGTTGGGTGTTTTTGTTTTTCTTTGTTTGTTTGTTTGTTGTTGTTGTTTGGGGGAGTAGTGTAGGCCCATACGACGTGTGCTTGTACATGTCTTTCACCTTCAACAAAACACGATTATCAGTGCATATCAGTCAAAATGCAATCACCCCTAAGTTATTGTAGGCTGTTTGTACGACAACTGGAAGGGATTTAGTTACAATTGGCGTAACTGGTCGCAACAGCATTCCAGTAGCATCGGGTGGGTTGTAAAGAGTGTGGGGGTTTGTCATGATCAAACACTGAGGTCACTCATATAATTAAGTATGCATAAAGGCTGAACAGGCAGTGAAACACGCATATTTAAACCACCACCACCACCACCACCACCACCACCACCACCAACAACAACAACAACAGCAACAACAACAACAACAACAACAACAACGTGAACTTCTAAGATTCAAAAGTATTATAATTCTGTTAGTGGCAATACCACGTTTGAAACCAGGTAAATGGATTGACCTCTATGCATCTTATACATGTGCATGATCTTTTTTATGTTGAGCAAATTTGCCAATGGCATTTTGATTGAACAGTATTTGTTCATGATGAACCATTCCTGATTAAAATACCTCTTTTGCTTTCCATCAACAACAGGATGGAAAAATTCTGCTGTTTGGTGTGGTCCCAGTCTCTTGACAGTGAGCTCAGTTTCACGTAATAAAGAACTATAATATAAGTATTTTACACGATACCTTCCTGTAGTGAAAAACTAACATTAGACTCCATTTTCAAACTACCTCAACTCATCGATACAATATAACGGCGCTTGTTTCACTGATTGTCTGATCTCCACACACAGAACAAGTGAACTCAGTACGCACTCAAAAGGTTTCTAACAGTTAATAAGCTCACAACTTCGTTCATCAAGTGTGCACACACAATCTTAGCCCATGGACATCGTTATAAGATGACTTAATCAAAGAACACACCGGAAACCGCGGGAAACAAAAGGGTGGGTGTGTGTGGTGGTGGTGGTGGTGGTGGGTTTGGGGGAGTCTACGCTTTGGCCTGGAGTCACGGGGGTGTGCAAATCTGGTACCAAGAGTCAATCTCTCGATGCCTAATCACGTGACAGAGCGCGGCTTCAGCCCCCGAGCCTAATAGGACACCAGTAGCTTTGTCTCGGCCTTGAGCCTGGCAAGGTCAAGATCCCAGTGATATTCAGTCCGCTGGTACTTAAATGCCAGGGCTTAAGGGACAACCAATGAAATTCCATTCTCCCCGAGGGATGGAACGTCTGATTGGTCAGGGCTTTTGTCGCAGCGAAAAGAGTAGACACCAAGACCAATCAGATCACTTTCCGAGTTATTATGCCTCAGAAGTTTCCTTTGGGTGTTGGTGGCGTTTTGATTTATATCAGAATACATTATTGTGTTTTGTCTCTTAAACATTTTTGTGAAATGTTTTGGTTTGGTTTTATTTAGGGAAGTAGCTTTTTGATAAAAAAAATCCAGGTGTGGCTGAAGCTGCAAGCCCAACCCAACAAAACGCTATTGATTACTATATATTTTACTCCGCTGTAGACTCAATCTAAAATAATCAGGATAAAACTTATAAGAGCTGCTACAACAGGCCAAACAGGACAGAAAAGTAAGCATACCAGCAGAAAGGCGGACTGAGATACATGCTGCCTACTCTATAAAATATTTACCCCATGATGGAACTAAACGTCTTTCGTGTGCAAAGCAAATACTTTCATCATTACATAACTTCAGAAGGCGCCACATTTTTCGTGAGAAATTCAAACGAATAAAGTGTACACGTACAACTTCGTCAGAGCAGAGTCTACCAACTGGGGCCTGTGGTGTCGATTAGGCGCTTCGCTGTCATACGCAAAAAAGAGACCCGAGTTCAATTCCCCAGTAGGGAGACAATTTTTATCGAGTATCTTGGTCTTTCTGCAGGGATATTGTATCCCTCTCTGCCCGAGTTAACACTAACAGGCAAGGTCGGAAGCCTCTTCCTAAATAACATACTTTGTGTCGATTGGGCCGGGAAAACATGTTTAAAAAAGTCAACTTTTTTCCTTGTTCTTTAATCATATACGTGTTTTCACGGCCCCGTCTACACGAAATTAAATTCTTTGTGTTTAAAAAAAGAGTCAACAAAACCAAAGTTAGAAAATGGGGGGGGGGGGGGGGGGGGGGGGGATCTTACCCGTTTTAGGGCTTTTATCTTGTGCACTGGGAGCCCTTGGGTCCCAAACACAAACGCCACTTTGGCCTTCAGATCTGGCGTCCTTCCCGGCCAAGACATCCCGTAGACTGTGCTAGCCCAGGTCTGGCGGATGAGCTCTCGTGTGAACTGGTGGTCTGGGATCGCTGGCATCAAGATCAACAGTTCAGTATCCTTGCCACATATGTCACGTCCCACAATTGTGAAGTTTGGCATAGCAAAAGATGCCTTTATCTGGTTTTGAGACAGAAAGAGTTTTTCTGACCATGTCATGAATTTTGTCCTGTTAATTCCCGAACTTTCGGTAACGTGCTTTAAATCGCCGAGGGAAATATTGGCTAGAATGTTGTCTTTTAAACCCAATCGTCTGTGGTACGACTTGCGCCTGACACGGCTGTCTCTGTCCGCGGGTTTTGATTCCCGAGTCCGGTTGTGTTTTGTGTGACTTGTGTTGTAAGTATCTCCTTCATCAGCTTGGTACTCTTGGTAAAAAAATCTAGCAGGGTTGTCATTATTCATGTTATTTCCCGTGTTCCGTGACGATATGACAACCTCATTTCCTGCTTTCATATTGCGATCGCCATCGAATCTCCCACTGCCACCAGCAAGGACGTTGCTAGGCGACATGTGTACGGATAGACGCCGAAGTTCTAAACGCCCGAAGCAATGCGTTGACATCACAATGTCCACGAGGAAAAGAACCAACACACAAATGGTCAGTCCCGCGATGATGACAACTAAGGTCTTCTTCCGACCCAGTTTGAACATGACTGAAGTTTTCTTTATTTTCTTCATCAAGACAATTTTGGTGAGCATCTGGGGGAATTAAAAAAGAACAGGATTAGAAAAAACAACAACAAACGAACTACTGGTATCCGAATGTTGTACCGGTACTTTATAATTTACAATAGACTATCTTTATGCATACACAAATTAATGAATTAGACACAGTATTAGATTTTTTTGTCATTATTTTTAATACGGTAGGCCTATATCACCCCCTACCCCAATAAAAAAAACTAACAACTAATAGTAATAATAACAATAATAATAATAATAATAATAATAATAATAATAATAATAATAATAATAATAATAATAATAATAATATCATACCCATGATAATGATAATAAATAGCATTTACATATCGCAAATTCCGGCTCAGTAGCAAGCTCTATAAAATAAAATAAACCATGAAAGAACAAACACTCACGCACTCACTATAGCATGCGTGCACACGTGAGCTCGCGCAGGTGGGAACACACACACACACACACACACACACACACACACACACACACACACACACACACACACACACACACACACACACACACACATATATATATATATATATATATATTCTATATATTATATATATATATATATATATATATACATGTATATATGTAATAAATGTACGTACGAGTACAAATGCATACAAACACACGAGTACTAAAATGACCCCCCCCCCCCCCAAAGCCTTCCTCGTGAACATGTGCGCGCGCACGCACACACACACACACACACACACATACACGCACGCACATGTAGGCCTACTCACATGCACAATCACACGCACGCGACCTCACACATTTCCGAGCACTAGGTGAACCAATAATGGTGTGTTGGCTAGAACTTGTTTAATTTGTTGCTGTGTTGTTGTTGTTTTAGAAACGAATAATTATGTGATGTTTATGATAGGCCTATACTATGTACAGTAGAGTCCACTGAAACCGAAAACGGTTCATATGAGAACGGGGTAATCGAAAGAATTGAAAATCCCCGAACCTCTCTAGACCGAAAGACCTGCTAAATCGAAGAACATTTCGCGATCTCGCATGTTTTGGCTCTTGCAGGCTCCACTGTATTCGTTTATCATTATATTGTGCCTTTTATAACGGTTTCAGGAATATTCCCGAAAAGGACGAGTGAAGCGAGTGTTTTTGTTGTCTTTGTTGGTTTTTTTCTGAGGAGGGGGGTTGGGTTGTTGTTTTTTAATTGTGTATTGTGTACACTGAGCATGCACGCCAAATCGTGTGTGTGTGCTGGCGATGTCTAAGTTATTATTAAATGAGATATTCTCAGTACGTAAGCTATATAGTTTCTACCTACCATACAATATTTTGCCTACAAGCACTAAGAACCCTTTGTCTGTTAACTAAATATAGCTCTAGTAAATGAGTAATACGTACATGTGTTTTAAATCTCATTTGTTCAATTGTATAATGAAAACTGATAAAATGTGTCAGGTTGCATTGGAATCAGGCGCTTGTCAACTTTTGGGCTCATGGAGTTATTGTAATCATCTTCAAGGCTGTTAATTTGTCCTGCTTTTGAAGAAAAATGTATTCATCCATCTCAAATAGAACCTATCTGATTTGTAATATGAAGGAGGTGGGGGTCGTCTGGTATCAGTGGTAAAGTGAGCACGAAAATAGCCGTCAGAGTTTGGTTACTTGCAAAACTTGAGAATACTTGAAAACCAGGCCTAGATCTATATCTAACATTTACATTTTTGGGATTTAGATCAAAGTTTTTCCAGTAAAAACTATTAAGAAATGTATTATTTAGACATAAAAGGTGTTGAGAAAAAAGGGGGAAAAAATGAAAATTAATAATTTTAAGAAAAATTACCCCAGGGCCAGAAAAATGCCGGTTTCTTTGAGTTCAATATTTTGACAAGAGCCTGATTTCACCATTAAGCCTCTCAAATAATATTTTATTAGTGACTGCTAGCGTACAAAACATGATGATTCGTAACTGAAAACGGATCGGCGTGTCGTTTATTCATATTTTTTCGTGCTTTTGATCAACAGTTTTGTTAAACAGGCCTATGACTTTGCGTCTGGACTTTAATTTATTCAGGTTCGAGTTATTTAACATACCGGTAATACAAGAATCATCAGTTATTCAAAACCGAAAGACAGGTAAATGTTCCATTTACATTTAATTTAGAAAGTTCCCCCGTTAATAACCAGACTTTCTATAAACTACGCACACGCAGGCTGACATGCCCATCTCTTTCGAATACATGCATGTAATAAAGTTACAGAACTGTTTGCCCTACACAATTAGATATGAAGTGCATGATTCAGAGTGGCTATCTCGCTCAATCACCTTGATTGTACAAGCCTTAAATACGTTAAGCAAGAGTCACATACCACTCATCAAAGTCAGTTTTGTTGCATTGCTTGTAAATGAAACTCGTTCAACAAACAAAAATCCGAACAGGAATGAGACGGCGCACCGTTAAGAACGCAGAGACTACCCTTTTTCATGGACGTTACAACTGAAGAGACAGACTGCTAGAGGCCCACATTGACTTAATCCCTAACAAAAACTCGCTTCAAAATACCTCACTGGCGGTGTTGTTTCAGCTCGGTGGTTGTACACGTAGGTCAGCCCGAAGCTCGGACTTGTACTATTGTGGTGAGGCAAACACTTGAGCTGGGCATTTTGATCGACAAGGAAAACTCACTAGAGCTTGTTGGACTTAATCATAGGGTTCGAGTCGAGAGAATGGGGTCACAGATAATAATATATATATGTACACATATGTACTTAAGACAGATCTTTTTCGGGGATACATACGCCCCCTCCTTCTCCCTCTGTTCCTATCCTTTACTGCGTTTCCTAAATAGGAGCCTGTATTTCCTAGCTATGGATATTTTTTTTTTCGATACAAATTTCATAGATCTGCTTCTGTTTAGAGCATGAAAAGCGGAACGAATATGCGATCTCAGATTAAAAACAGATTTCAGCGCATGAAGTTCCCTGTAAGTTTCATTCTCCGAAAGTGAGAGAAATCTTGGCTGATAAACAATATCTATCTATCTATCTATCTATCTATCTATCTATCTATCTATCTATCTATCTATGTTTGTTTGCTTGCTTGTTCAACTTGAGTGTAGGCAGTTTTCAAATATTTTCCCATTAGGTTTCAAGTTAAACAGGACCAGTGCGTGACAATTCGAATCGGTGCAATAGTCAAGTAACAAAAAGTGTTATGAAATTTGCTAGTGAGAAATACATTTCAATTAGAGGTTTACAGTATTTACAATATACTGTCCCCGTCGTTTTATGCAAGAAAAAGTCTGAAATTATGCAAACTGAGCCCAAAAATGTGAAATTGTGCGATTCTGTTAATTTTAACAAAGAATGATAAAGGAAAATAATCAGAAATTATGCAAAAAGTGATCAAATTTTGTCAAATCATGCGGGGTGCATAAAACTGCGGGGACAGAATATAATTAGGTAAAATTAGGTTCGTAGGATAAGTAAACATGGAAAGATCACACAAACGTTACCAAGGGCCGGACTATCTCCATCTCATATTATAATGCCCTTTTACATATGCAGTTCATTCATCGACAAACTGACAGTTTAAGTAACCGACGGACGCTTGATCTGGGTATTCGTTGAACTGACTGTTTGTAGACGAGAGAAGTTCCGTTTAGACGTACAGTTTTTTATCATTAAAGTGTAAGTCACGCATACAGAATTTAACTTGGTATTGCGGTATTAAATTGCGTTCCCGCTGATCACGAAAATCTCATTATTTTTAAAATTTGGCCAACATTTTGGAACGCATTTTCAACTCCACCTTGGGAAACATGAAAGAAGTCGCTCCCTCGTCGTCATGCCTTCAGTTCGCCGGCCGGCAAATATCTGGCTTCCAGATATCTGGTGGCTGGACTGAGAACCCTTTGATATCGAGAGGAATTCTCGTTTCCCCTCTCAGTTTTACCGGAAGGTTGACAGGATCCCCGCCATCTGTCGATATCCTACAGAAAAGTTTGTCGTTGAATGAACTGCATGTGTAAAGGGCCATGGGCCAGCCAAGTGGGTAAGGAGCCCTAAAGAACATAGTGGGTTATTACAAAGTGGTCCACCATGATGTCTCCTGAGCTATTAACTCCCTCCCCCTCCAATTTCCTAGGAAGAATGGGCAGAAGTTGAAAAAAAAAACCTTAGATAACTTTTAATTCAAAAGCTACTAGTTACACATTTCATTTTTTCCTATGCATAGTACTGTGTTCGCCACTAAGTTCAAACCAGAAAGCGCTATTGCTATACATATTAGCGTTTTCTTAGCCACCCTTCTAATTTGAACTGAGTGTTACACCCTTGTGCCACGGTGAGGCCCAGTACTTCTGTCTTTCACATAGGAGGGAGTGGGGAGGGGCCGTTGTGAGTTGTGGAAGACAAAATATAAATGTGCTTTTAAAAATAGGAAAAAGAAAGACCATTTATTGTTCTGAAGTTTTGTTCCATGCCTGATACCTAGTGAAACCGTTGCAGTAATAAGAAACCAAAACTAGGATGAAAACGAACCGACACTTCGTAAAGGTTGAGAAGAAAATACTAAAGGCTAAAGGTCACTGTGCGTGGTTATATTGTCAGCTAAATACATTTGTACATGTAATTCTACATTCACAAGCTTCAGACAAAAAAGCATTGATTTGGTTCACACTATCATCTCTTGAAGTGTCCCCAAAGAAAGCCCAATTTCATATGTCAACTTTATCTTGAGTCATCAAAACTAGATATTTGTAGACAAATGAAGTAAAAGATAGTTGTTTATCATCAGAAGTTGAATCGGTACGTTTAGAGTTGGATAGCAATAGATCTTATAACCAGAAGAGTAAGAACAATCAGACCACCAAGAACCAAACTAAGCAATTAAAACGAAACTTCACCTGGTCCACGTAAGGTACATCATAGTTTGAACCTAAACATTGTTGCAAACATTGTGGTTGAAGCGAGGTTGCCACAAAACTCAAGAGAATGAGAGACTTTAATAAGAATTTGTCAACGAACACAGTGACACAAACGGAATTAAGCTAATGGAAAGAAAAGCCAAATGACAGACATAAATAAATGCAAACAAGATGTTATATTAAGAATTGTGTGGAAGAAATAGCAAGAAAGCAATTCTAAATACCACGGAGCCAAGATTTTAGAGAAAGAGGAAACAATTCTAGAAATTGAAAAGGATCAATTTCATCTGGAAAGCACATTGCAATGATGGGGAAAAAAATTCCAAGAAGTATTTTATTCCCACTGCAATATAATTAGCAATAACCAACAAGCGACAAGAAGACTTATAATAAAAATATATGTATTGAAGACAGAAACCAAAGAAGGAGTATGAAGGGAAATAGGTATAGATCTAGAAACACCGACACTCCTTCAGAGAATAATGACAATGAACCTAAACTATTTTGAACATATTATCAAATAATAGAATGATTCATCCTAGAAAGATATATTCCAAGAGCAAAGGAAAAAAGCATGAGAGGAAGGGTTGTCTTAACAGAAGATGAGAGTTGTGCTCAGAAACATGGTATGAAATTAAAACAATTCAGGCAAGGAGAAAAGCAAAAGTCAGAATGTTTGATTGTAGAAAGGTCCAAGAAGCAGCGTCCATCAACTCAAAAAGCTAAACAGGAGAAGACGAAGGGACAGGATGGGCATGAGGAGGGGGACACAAGGGCGGAGAGAGAACAGGAGGGGGACTAGGGGAGGGGGGAGGAGTTGGGTCTAAGCTAGTGGTAAATCACGTTCTCCGTTACAGCTTCGCTGGAATGGTCAGTCTTCGCCACTTTCGGAGACAATAACGAAACACACTCGAGTAGTCAGCTTCCTCCGAACACAACCTGTCAACAAGCTGTAGTGGCTGTGGAGACTAGGCAGGCAAGTATTTCTCCGAGCTTGAGCTCCAGGATTGGATCTCTTGATCGCCGCTTCTTGGTCTACGGAATGGCCTGTTGACAAGATACTGACCTGCGAGGCCATACGACACGTGGATGACCGGTGTCCACGTGACACGATACTGTGGAGGCTTCTACAATGAGGCTCACACAATTATCGTGGAAGCTTTCCGGCTGTCCAGAGTCCGACTCACTCTCCCAGCTGTTGGATAGCGACAGACAGACAGACAGACAGACAGGCAGACAGACAAACAGACAGACAGACAGACAGACAATGAGAAGAGAGATAATGAAAAGAGAGAGAGAGACAGAGAGAGAGAGAGAGAGAGAGAGAGAGACAGAGAGAGAGACAGAGAGAGAGAGACAGAGAGAGACAGACAGACAGACAGACAGAGAGAGAGAGAGGGAGAGAGAGAGAGAGAGGGGTGGA